GTCCACAGGAATCCTGGCTTCAGGAACCTGGTCCCTAGTGCTGGGCTCCCTTGGTGCCCAGACATTTGAAAGGTGCATTTGCAGCCCAGCTGCAGGTACACCTGGACATTTAAAAGGTGCTGAACAGGTGCTAGAACATGGGCAGCTGAGGAACAGGGACCTCCATGCCACATATTGAAATTAAAGCATGATTCAAACTAATCACAAAGATGTTCACATTAAATGGAATTCAAATTCAATATGGAATATCTTTGTAGCTGGTTTGCCATTTTTATCATGTAATATAAATTGATTGTGTGGTACGTTGCAATTAATCACACAGTTAACACATTAATTACACAATAAATGTAACATCTAGCAGGGCCTTTTTTGCACCACTGATTTTCCTTTCGTGTAGTACACCAAAGGATATGGGCATCTATTTGCTCAGCATTTGTGCTGAAGTTAAAAAGATTATGGTGGCACAAAGGAGACATCAGATGACGTCTGTTTCCACCCTTAGAAACCACTGCAGAAAGAGATAGAAGACATGGCAAAAGCCAATATAGCTGTAGTAGACTATTTATTTATGCATTAGATTTATATGCTACCATTGCCAAGAAGGTTTAGGGTAATTTACAGTAAAAGACATCGTTTTTTGCCTCTGTGTGTGTGTTTCTTGCTCAAATCTGTAGACACACACACACGTGCATACACACTCAAATATTAAAATAAGAAAGTACAACAAAATGATCCACCTTCAAATTCAAAAGCAATCCATCCCAACCCCTTCAGCTCCCTTGCATCTGCCCTAACCTCACCCTAATCACTTCCCAGCCCACGTTCAATTCTAATATTATAAAAGCCTTAGTCTGCCTGTAACTTTTTTTCACACTCGGTTTTGTTACCTCGCCAGCCAATCAGAGAGCTTTTAGCAGATAAAGACACATGGCAGAGCAGCACCATGACAGCAGGGACTGAGGGACTAGAGCGGGGGGGGAAGGGGGGCGCCCAGGCCACCTTGCCCCTCTCCCGCCCTCCCTGCCCTGCTTCTTGGAGGCAGAGGGGGACAAGCACCGCCATGATAGAGGGGACAGAGCAGGGGGGGCGAGGCCAACTCCTTGGAGGCAGCAGAGGTGCAGGATACTGGCACAGCACTGGCCTCACCCCACCCAACACGGTGGAGCACCACCATAACAGCAGGGACTGGGGCCGGAGCCGGGGGGCGAGGTGCTGGCCTTGGCCCCCCCTCCCCCATTCTGACCCTCCCAACAACAACCAATGGAGAAGAGGGAAGGAGGGGGGGTGACTGTTGGCTAAGCCCTGCCATGACTGCCGTCACTGACCCCAGCCTGAAGCAGAGGGGCCTCGGCCCAGGCCCGAAGTGGCAGGAGGGAAGAGGGAGAGTGGCTCTAGCCCAAACCAGCAACGGGGATGCGGGAAGCAGCCCCGACCCTGGCCCAAAGTGATAGGTGGGATTGGTGGGAGTGGCCCTGGCCTAGGCTTCGACCCAAAAGAGCAGTGGGGAGGGAGGGAGGGAACAACCCCAGCCCTGGTCCAAAGCGGCGGGGGGAGGCGGGGAGTGGCCACAGCCCTGGCCCTTGC